AAATTACGTTCATATCTTGAGTCAACTAAATGACTTGGTTATCACAACAATACATGATATATTGTAACTATTGGCTTAAATGTATTTAAGTAAGTCGACATTGGTCTTATTGTAATTAGTGCAGTTTTTTTTGGATCAAATGACCAATATGCAATCATTCAACACTATATCTTTATTGTGCACATAACAAAAAACATATTCTAAGGATTTTAGAAATAATGTGATTATTTCTAGAATGTTGTGTTTTGTAGAACGATCTATTTCTTTTGGTACTAAAAACTGATATTATAACTTAGTTAAACTATTCGGACAATAAATCATCACTTGTTAACTCACTCAACGACTTAGTTATTTAGGTCTGTTAACCTGCGTGAAGCATAAGCCATCGACCAGTAATCTACAACTAATTCATGTCCTCCACCCATCATTCCATGTCTTTCCGAATCCCTGTGCAATATGTTCATTAGTTCACCTCCTTTCCTTTGGCTTTGACGATTCCGAATGACGGTTTGCCTCGTAACGTAGTAATTTGTGTCCTATTCACCTACTGCTTTGCTCTCTCACACAGTAGGTTGTCGCTGAACCTTACATGGACAACTGTTAATATATACACATGTATCATGTGGATGATAGCTTTCTTAGTTCTCCCTGTTTCCACTCCATTCCAAAGAACTATTTTGATGTCTTTTTTGAAACCTTTCACTTTAGTGTTGGTTGACAGTTGATTTGAGTTCCGGATGATCTTCAAATGTATAAATGCTGCCCTTGCTTTGCCAATTCATGGCTTTACATTTGCACCAGATCCTCCTTGTTTATTGACGATGCTGCCCAAGTATGTAATGGTTTGCACATGTTTCAAAGCTTTTGCTTCAAGTGTGATTTGATTGATGCTTGTTGTGCTGTATCTGATGATCTTGCTGTTTCCCTTGTGTAGAAGAGCTGGTTCATCTATAAAACTCAACTCGATTAGTTTCATCTGAAATGTCGGTTGTATTCTGTGCTTCTCAGAGTTGTGGATGCTTTTGTAATTCGGTCAACTACTTGAAGGAAGGGATGATTCCCAGGTATTCCATAGCGTCGGTGAAGCCTACACAATGTTCTTCTGTCCAAAGTGATGTGTAGCGATGATTTTCATTCAGTTTATTACTCAACAGTGATTTGCAGTACACTATTTGATCGGTGCACAATCAATTCTTATTATTTCCATTTCGTTGCTCTGGAAGTTGAACATTCATTCAGTTTAAGAACACCGTTGAGGAGTATTCCTGATACTGATTGTAAAGTAATGCCTCTGAAGTTCTCACGTGTACTAAGATTTTCTCCCTTCCGTATCATGTTGATAAATCCTTCCTTTTAGTCTGTTGGTACTTGTTCTTCCTCTCAAATATTGGTGAAGTGAGCTTGGAGCATCTTTACAGTTTCTTCTACATCCTACTTGAGTATCTCAGATGGTATGTTATTTTGTCACCTAATCCACCGGATAGCCATGCTGATTCCTCAGTTGCAGGTGGGGTTTCATTTACAGAAAGGTCTGTAGACGCTTATTCGATGATCATTGTGTTCAGTGCGGCTTGTCTGTTCAAGGGTTCTTCAAAGTTGTCTCCCACCCGTTTCGCTGTCCTTGAAACTCAGTTATTAATTTGTCTTCTTTGTTGTTAACTTGTCGATCTGATATGTTATTCTGTCCAGCGAGTTTGTGTTGTCTTGAAAAACTCTTTGATAATCTTGGATTCCTTAAACATTCATGCCATAAGTGCTTCCTATGCTTCCTTACTACAGTATTAATGCAATGTGTGGAGCATTTTCTGCTTCATAGCTAGAGTATAATAGAATTACTCTCGAAGCTAATCTTTTTTGCCCAGGCTGTGTTCATAGAGTTTCACCTTTTTTCTTGCAGCAACCTGAATATTTTTCCTGGTCTCCTACATTGCTCATAAATTTTATATATCTATGTTTATTTTTGTCCTAGTCGTTTGAAGTGTCGTTGCCTCAAGACTTTCGAATAAATTTGACTTTCACCACGAGGCGTGATAACTCTTCTAAGTGCTGAGCCTCCAACTTCGAGGACTGAGATGAAATGGTTTAAATGATTTTTTTGGATTAGCGTTTTTTTAATTAATTTTGTCTGCTGTAGGATAGGGTCGATAACCACATGCTGAACGCTCTTCCTTATCCATGCTTGGCACCAGCAATAACCTTCTATGCCAAAAGGCTAAGTTTCAGCTTATAATAAAATAGCTAGCTCTCTACCATTTTCAGTACGATTATTAAGATGTCAACATAAACGCTTACGTTTGTTAATTAATGATTCGTATTAGTGTTTAAGTTGATTGAAAATTTCTTTCAAAATTATATATTCGTGTCTACCTCATACTGCATCCAAACAAAATTCTCATTCATTCATATGTGTTTATGAAAAAAATTAGATTTCTGTTGAGAACAGACTTCAGGTGATTTTTTAAATTGAATACACTGTCGTTAAATATTGATTGTGCTTGGTTTAAGAATAACTCCTTGATGATTCCTAGGTGTTCACAATGAGATTCCATATAGGTAAATTACCCACATTTTTAATACTTTTCAATATAAGCTAAGGTGATTATCGGCGTTTTCAATAAATTGATATTACAACCCATTTACTCTATTATTACCTTAAATGTTAGACACGTTCTGTTAATTGTCACAACTAAGCTACAATAAAATTTTAATATGTTAATTCATGTATCTCTGGATTACAGCAGGTTAACCTTTTTTCATCTTCCATAATGTACAAACTGTAGGCTGTTTAAAATCAAGGAAGAAAAACATTTTCAATCAGTTCGAATAACAATGAATGCTTCTCGTTAGAAATGAATAAAGTACTTCAGCGCATACCTGATTATATATTCTTCTATGCATAACTTGATCACCGGAGTGAAATCGTTTTTAAAGATTAATATTGTAACACTTCAGTGGATAAAAGTGGATGGATTTCAAGTACAATATGTATATATATATACATACATAAATTTTGAAAATCTGACTGAACCACAGTCGAACAGTTCAATGAATGAAACCAGTACATATGATCTTCATTACGTACTTGTGATTTAAATGTTTTACTAGTGAAAAACTTACTGCATCAAAGGGAAGATGTTGAATGCATTTCATCTTGTTTCATGTGTAATATAATCGTATGAATGTGATCATTTTTTCTAGTCAACGTTTTAGGCCGAAACACTACTGTAATAATATTGAAATGTTGTCTTAGCCGGGTAACTAGTTTGGTTTCATTACGATTCATAAAATGAGTAATTCTATGAGGTTGTCTTATAATATATTTTAGTTGAGTCAGTATCAATCACTGTATTTCAAGCTTTTCTTATTCACACATTAAGTCAACTGTATTTTTCGGTCAGAGTTTTGGAGGTTTTGTGTTTTTACACATTTGAAATCATCAATCAATCATTGTTAGACCACCATTAGAAATCTGGAAGCACTGGACGGCCGATTCTTCCTGGTATGGAACTCATCAGCAGTGCGCATCCACTGTATTTTTGTAATGTTTAAAGTTTTTGAAGGCTTTGTTTTGTATGCATTTTTCCTTGTAGTCATAAAATAACTGTAAATTCAATAGGACAAATTCCAATAAATTATTACACTTGAATGTTGATGTAATATTTGTGTTGTTCATTAAATCCTAATAATTACTGTTCAGATATTGAATACCATTTCAACATTTTATTAGTAAATCTTTTATATTCAGAAAGAGAGAGCAGGGACGTAAATCAGTGATGTTTATACAAATATATATATTTGTAAATCGTGTCCATTTAGAAAGTTATTGACTAATTATTTGCTGTAATTTCATTCAGTTGAGTGATTGATACCCTCTTGAAGTTAGTTAGATTGAAATACTAATCCATGTTTAAAAGGCATTTGAGATACAATGTGACTTTTATTTTATTCTTCTTTCTTAACTAATGTCATTAAAAACCACATAAGCGTTAAGTGACACTAAAAAGATTATGTTGATTTTCATATGGGACAAACCCAATCACAGTAACAAAATCTGACAACAATGAGTCAATTTTTACTTCACTTATCTATAAACAACGCAGTCATGTCAGTTCAAATAGGTCTATAACAGAGTAACAGTCAATTGTCTGACAATAAATTTAGAGTAGTTTGTTGGAAACTAAGCCTGTTAATTATGAGTGAAGTTTTGTTTGGTTATTTTACATCCATTAGACAGTACCTTTTTTATTGCAGAAATAGCTAACTAATTGAATCAAGGTGTAAAACACTATTATATTACTCAAGAAAAGAATATTTTTTGTGTTTTACAACTAGGAAATTTTATAGAATTTAACAAGTTTACTGTGAATTATCATTTAAAATATGCTTAATATAAAGTTCAGGTAGAGAAAAAATTTAGCGTATTCAACTTGACCGATTATCAAGTATACATTTCAACCTTTCAAGTGTGGCCAACATACAAAAAGAAAGTATCTATATTCATTGGTCGATAAAGTTATTCACATATCCTTCTATGAATCCTATTTTTGAATTACAATATTCTTTTTATTGTTTTATTCAATTGACATTGTATTTTATGAATAAGTTTGTTGAAATGTACACCAATCAAGAGTACAGTTTGTTATTTGGTTAAGATGATAAAAACCTGAAATTAAAAATTCAAGAAACACTGTTTTGCGCGTTAAGTATTTTGTTTGTTCAATCAGTCTTCGACATTTTAAGCCTTACATACGAATAATATGCTTTTAAAATTATCTTATCTAATGATAGGAACCAATCAAAATGTATCTTTTCTAACTAAGTATAAAAACGACGATCGTTCACAACCACTTGAATAATTGTATTACACTAAATTAAAGCAATCATCATACTATCATGTTATTAAATTACATGCTTCTATTCATTGTATATATTAATTATTGATGATTTACAGTTAAACCTTTCGTGAAATAAATTTGCTTTAATTTTATTTCATTGTGTAGATGCGGAACACAACTTCAAATCTGTCAAACGGAAACATATAAACAACTAAGGGTTATATTGTTATACTATGTAACATATGTTGGGTTTGGTTTAGGGAATATTCTTGAAGCTTCATCTGTATGGATAACTGTATTAATATCAGCCGAACGTTACATTACCATGAAATGGCCACATTTAGGCAAATTATATTTTGCAAGATATCAAGGCAAATGGCAAGTATTTATCACTGTATGTATCGCTGTTGCTTTTAATTTTCCATTGTTTTTCACACTGAAAATTAGCACTTCTGCTGTTCAAGGACTTAATGATACGAGGCGACATTTTCATTACAGTAAATTAACATGGTTTGGACATTCAACATATTATCATTCGTTCACATGGATACGATTTATCTGTGTTCAGTGTATTCCATTGATAACATTGTGTATTGTTAATTTTATGCTTCTACATTTAACATGGTCTAGTTATCGTAACCAAAAAGCACATCAACTAAGTCAACAAATTTATATGCAACGTTCATCGCTTCCATTATCATCAGTGATTGATGAAAATAATGAGTCTTGTAGTCAAATTGTGGATGATGGGACATACAATTTACAGATAAAATCTCAAACAACCATTAGTTTCACACCTCAAGAGGCTATTTCAAAAGATATGGTTAACAGTTCTACCATGCATCGAATAAATAGTTCATCTTCGCCAAAACGTATTTCGTTAAGAAACAGACGACTGGAACGTTCACAGCAAGCAAATAACAAGTTGTCAATCCTACTAATTACTGTGATATTTTTGTTTATAATTGGTCAAATTCCTCAAGCACTAGCTTATGTACATATTTTGGAATTGATTGTACCAAGATCTTGCATCAAATGTCGACCATATTCAGCTCTTTATAAACATTTTAGTCATTTGTTATGTTTAATTACATCCACAACAAATTTCTTTTTATATGTTGGTTTGAACAGAAACTTTCGTGAATGTCTGACTAAGTTATGTCATGCGAAAAGGAAAATCGAAATTTTAAAACGTTAAATAGAACTCCATCGAAAAATAAAACAAATGTTGTCTATTGAACATTTATTGTATGTACATCCTCTATGTGTTGTCCACTTACTCACTTATTTTCCATATGCTTGATTTTTCGAAATTTTTTGCGTTTTTAGGATCGAAAGCCCTTTGTCAAATAAAGAATCAAACATTGTATAAAAAGATTCGCATAATAATATTTTATTATACATTATTCAAAAAAATACTGTCCTGAAAAATTTTCAGTCTTTACTCATCTAATTTTCTTCAATAATATTCTTGAATTTGACATAAATGATAATATACGACTGATGAGTAGCCATCTAATTGCATCAATAAATAATATTAATGACAATGCGAAATTCACGAGAAAAATAGATTCAATTGGTCATTTTTGATTCAAAAATACAAAATCAAGCCAGGACTAAGGGTTTTTTGTGCATTTATTTTTAAGTGTTTTAACTAAATATCACTTTGAATTTGGGTCTGAAAGTTGTTGTTATACTGTATGTATTGTATTGTATTTTATTGTACTTTATTGTATTGAATAGTCTATTTATTTATTTGTATATATATAAGAAAGATGTCAAAAATACGAGTAAATATCGACTTCATGTGTAAGTTCGAATGTTAAATATATCTACCTTCTTCACAGATTATGTTGTTCAACATCTTTTGATGTTTTTAATTTAGTGGTGCAATGTGCTTGACAAGAATTTAATAACCAATTGTTTATTGCACAAAATGTTTTGTAACGACCGTGGAAAAATACCACTCTAGTTAATCCTAATATTTCAAAGCGATTTCTGACTATGGATCAATGTCAGCCCAAAAATCACTTCGATCAATAAACTAGCAAGGAGGTCACTGACAAAACCAGCTTCTTTTCAGCTGCTTACATTCGTACTCGAGGTGAAAAGTAACACAGATATAATAGATTAGGAAGTAATTTATTTTGAGGAATTGGAATAACAAAGATTATCAGTATTAACTGTGTATACATGTGAGGCAATAATTCGATTAGCTTTAGACAAAGATAAAATCAGTACAGAAAATTTGAAGAGTTTACTCAGGGTAATGATTATAAGAAAATGATGAGTTGATCATTATTTAGAGTTCGAAATCGATTAGATGTATTATATAATGTCTACTGAAGATTTGATGATCTCGCCTAGATCTTGAAAATCGAGTTAACAAGAAAGATAGACGAAAGCAAAATCAATTTCAGCGTGATTGAGGTAACAATTAACCTAAAAATATATAGTACTTTATTAATGATTTTAATATCAAACGTTTATATTACCAAAACAAAGAAATCGATAAGTCTCTGCAATATAGCGAGAAGTTTAGGCTCAAACAATCAAATGAATGAGGAATTAAAAATTATTGAAAATAACTCTATAGAAATCGATACCTTAAGAACATATTCTAAAAATCTAGATAAAGCATCCTAATGATCATAAACAATAAGTTGTTTGCAAAATACATTTCCTCAACTGTCTTCTGATTAGAAGAGATGGTATTTCGTTAAGAATCGATAGGAAAAGACCGGAATGGGACTACAGAGGAGTATTTCTGAATCTCTAAACAACGCCAAATGTTTGTCGTATCCTTCACAGAGATTCTAACCGTTTATGATAAGTATGTAAATAGTATTATATCAGAGTAATATGGACAGCAGTTGATCCATGTGACTGTAACTTTATTGTAATATCGTCACCTATGTAAATGGATTGATGTTAACGCTCTTAGACAGTAACTATGTTTAGCCATTCAGTTACTTGTTTGTTAATTGATCACTAAAACCCGACCAAAACCTAAGATTATACAAGTATGATTCTGCTTGCTACCAGGTTATCAATCAGCTTAAGTACGTACACACTTAAATCTTGTATATCAACAATTAAAGTTAACTGAAAAAATAGAAGCCTTCGAAATGGTATTCGGTTGTAGGTTGAAACATCGTCTATAAGTGATGTGTAACATCAGCAATGATCAGCAATTAAGTTGTCTTAATTTTTTACGTTCAATCTGTTTGATGGCAATGAGACGAATCGATCTTAAGTTTTTGTGGACCCGATTTCCAAAGCTGGTGACAAGAATACTGGTCAGTAGATCATTTGTAATAGCGGTGGCCGACCGAGTGGTGGCTGCTTCAAGATCGAACGGCGAGTGACTTGAAATCCAAGTCCAGTTGACCAATTAACAGAATTAATTTTTTCGACAATATAGCAGAGAAACTTTATTATTAAATCCCACAACGACTGGCTAGTATAGGCTTTGAAGGTTACTCACTCCTCAATCCATTAATTCCTAACTGTTAGACGAAATTTTTAATCTGTCATGACACTATCAATCGGATCATGAAGACAATTATCCAAAGATTTTTCTGATGCTTCAACCAGTTATTTTGAAATCGAATCGCTAAAAATAAGACAGAAGAAAATTCTCAGATAATCCCATAATTAAGGAGATCGATAGGAAAGCAATTAGCATTATTATCACTTTTATAACTAACAACTAATTATCACTAGTATTTAAGTGATAATCATAGTGGAATCATACATCATCTGTCTCAAGACATTAGAAATTATGGAAAAAAGGCATTTAGTTTTTACATGTTTAAAGGTGTTCATGAATAAGGTCACTTGTTTTAATATCGTTGAACATTTATATAAAATTTTAGGCTAAACACAATTAAAATTTATATTTTGAAATTTTGATAAATTTTGCTTAAGAAAATATTTTATTGCGTAAATGTTTACACAATATCTAATATATTATTGCTACGTTTATAAAACTGAAACTAGTTATTCTTTGTTTAACACATAATAATTCTAGATTTTCAGAGTACTAACAATGATTAATAGTTTTGAATCACTATAATATTGTATTCAGTTACTATATATTTGTTTTATTTGTTGGAAAATACATGATTTAAAGTTGATCAGACTAAATTATCATAAGAAAATTATGATTAATCAACAATCCGTTTTCAATGAAGATCTATGAATGGACTAGTACTAAACTTTCCTGTCTAATAGAATAAGAGCCCCCAGTTGCCTTGGTACGACTGAGAGTGAGAAGAATCCATTCTCTCTCTCCTGAAATGCTCTCATGTCGCCATGCGTATATATTCACTACCAGTAAATTCCTACCCACTGCATTATCGTGTCTCGGGCGTTGTTTACGCAAGAAGAGAAGATCAAAAGTGAATGTCCGGCATTTAAAATAGATAGATGGGTACGGTGGGTCCATTTAAAAGAAGTTCAAAAATCCTGATTACAAGCGAGTGGTACTCATGAATACCAGGATCCTGATGGATTGAATGGACTAGGAACCTATTATTGGTCATTGACTACCATGAAACTGCAACTTCTTAAGTCACTCCGGGTGTGACTTACTAAGAAAACCATTTGCTTTAATTTGGACGACCAGGTAACATCCCAACCCACCTATAAATTCAATAATTTGTTTGTAGCATAAATATTTAGATACCCTTTTGTACCAGTGTTCATGTGTTTAAATAAGTAAAAAAACTACGAAATATTATCTATAAATATTTTTTATATTTACACGGTTTTCACGTATATATATATATATATATATATATATATATATATATATATATATATATATATATAGACATGCCGAATACACAGAAGCAAACGAGCAAGTGAATGGGGGTATCAGAGCCGAAAAACGTGAATATGTGGAAGATCTAGCAATGACGGCGGAAAAGACTGCAGAAGACGGAGACCAGAACAACCAGTGAAAAGCAAGGAAGGCAAAGTAATCAGCAACACTGAGGAACAGCGAAATAGGTGGGTAGAGCACTTTAAGGAACTATTGAATCAACCAGCTCCACTGAACCCACCCAACACTGAATTAGCATCCATGGACCTCTCAATCGATGTTGGCGCACCTACAATTGAAGAAATCAGCATCGCCATCAGACAAATCAAAAACGACAAAGCAACAGGACCAGACAACATTCCAGCAGAGGCAATGAAAGCAAATGTGGAAGCAACTGCGAAAATGTTTCACATCCTCTTCAAGAAGATTTGGGATGAGGAACAAGTACCATCAGATTGGAAACAAGGATACCTGATCAAAATACCAAAGAAAGGAGATCTCAGCAAGTTTGAGAACTACAGAGTCATCACTCTTCTTTCAATACCAGACAAAGTCTTCAACAGGGTATTGTTAAACAGAATGAAGGACTTCGTAGACGCCAAAATTCGAGATCAACAGGCTGGATCGATCACGTACTGACCAAATTGCAACATTAAGGATCATTGTGGTACAATTAATTGAATGGAACTTACCACTCTACATCAACTTCAATGACTACTAGAAAGCTTTTGATTGTGTGGGCAGGACAACACTATGGGGCTTCTTCAACACTACGGCGTCCTTGAGAAGATAGTCATGATACGGAATTCTTGTGATGGATTCAAGTTCAAATCGTGCACGGAGGACAGCTGACAGACTCTTTCGAGGTGAAGACCGGTGTCGGGCAATGTTGCTTACTTCAACCCTTTCTCTTAGTCCTCATGATCGACTGGATTATGAAGAGACCAACATTTGGAGAGAAGCCAGGATGCAGCTGGACGATTTGAACTCAACAAATGACCTAGTACTTTTACTCCACACACTACAACTGATTCAGCATCCTCAGCAGCAGTAGGTCTAAACATACACGAAGGTAAAAGCAAAATTCTCTGATACAACACAGTATGCACAAACGAAACCACTCTTGATGTAGTTGACTTGGAGGACATCGACAATCAAGGTTGATCCGATGCAGATGTGAAGGCGCGGATCGGAAAGCAAGGGCTGCATTTTTACAAGTGAACAACATCTGGGTTTCCAAACAGCCATCAACAAACAACTAAGTCAGAATTTTCACCGTAAATGTCAAGACAGTTCTGCTGTATGAAGCGGAAACTTGAAGAACTACCAAAGCTATCATCCAGAAAATACAAGTATTTATTAGCAGTTGT